ATCATAGTGATGAAGAAAACAGACAATGAGGCTGTTGCTAAGAAACACACCCACACCATCTTGCCTCTCTGCTGCCTTTCTCTCCAGATTCCTCTTTGATACACAGTGCCACAATGTCCTCTTATTAAATGTTCTGATAGTACCACATAGCTTGTTGTAAATAGGTCGAGCATTACAACAGTATTCGCAGGACACTGGTCACCATGTCACTATGCTAACAACTGTGGCTAACCTAGGCCTACCCAAAGCCTAGTTCAAACTTCAAACTTGAACCTTTAAACCAAGTCTTTACATTCACACAGCATGCATTTGCAGATGATTTAAGGTCATTTTATGTGTTCAGGCCTGTGACTGTATTAAACTAAAAACAATCTGAAATGGAAAAACGGATCTTTGCAACCTGTGCTGAGGGGATTGTGGATGTTTTTTTGTTTTTAGGGCTCATAAACCAGAGAGTTTAGATATGCCTGGTTTATTTCATATATTACTCACGTGAATACAACTATGTATTTAGGTGACACTTTCAAAAACTCTTCATAAGATGATAAACAAATATAAATAAATACACAATAAATAGGGATCTTTCACTTTTACTCCTCACAAACATCTTTTGATTTTCTTTTAAATGTTTTATTTTGTCATCCCTACATTGCAACTATACTGCACTGTTGTCAACTATTCCCAAATATTTAAAGATGCCAAATCAATAAAATTAATATTTTTCTTTTAAATGATAATTGTTATGTGCAATAATATACCATGACTGTAAAGATTCTTAAAATGAATATGCAATATGGCAGATGTAGTCACTTGGTAATGTGTCATGACTCACATACAGAGTCTCTCACTCACAAATTGTATACCGTGAGATGGTCCCTGAACAAAAACAAAGGCTACTTCTTTTGAACACCTTATAATCTAAACCTGTTCAGACTGTCTTCAGGTGGAACAAACAGGCTTGGCCGGGGTCCACCGACAGACTAGAGAAGTCAGGAAGTGAGGGACTAACACTTTGTTGGTTTTGGTCAAATCGTGGGATTTGCTGATTGTAAACACAGACTAACACAAGCCTCATCCTTCAATCAGCACAACCCACCCCAGTACAGCATGGGGTGGAGACTGTCTCAAAACAAGACAAATCAAACCAAAACCATTTACATTAATAGTCATTAGAGATATTAATGCGTTTCTACAGATCAGATCAATCTGCCCTTTACAGGTTCCATTGCTCAAATACATTTCTCTTGTTTACATTTCTGAGGTCACACGTTTATACACATCACCGATTCTCACGCTCCTTCTCCTCCTGGTTTACCTGTGCTGAGCTGCTGCCATGCTGGACACCCATCAATCCCAGCGGTCCAGCTCATGAACAGAGCAGTCCTCTTCTGCTCTGTCTCTCTCTGCGTTTCAGTTTATCTGGTCTTTTCCTCCATCTAGATGCGTGCGTCCACGTATGCGTGTGCGTTTTATGTGAGAAAATACTGGTCTCTCCGTGCGCTCTACTGGAAGGCCAGCAGGAACATGAGCACCACGTTGATGATGATGAGCAGCATCATGATAAGGAACACCACCACTTTCTGGGTTTCTGGAGGAAGGTTGCAGCGCAGCATGGTGTTGAAGAATCCCATCCTCTGCCTGCTCCACCTTCCCGAGCCGCTGCCGCGAGCCATCAGTTCTCTGGCCTCGTCCTGTTCCTCCTCCTCACCGCCGTCACCCCTCTCCCACCGCCTTTCCCTCAGTGCCGGGCCCCCACACCACACCGCGTCACCTCGTTCTCTCCCTCGACTGTCGCCGTCCTCTGGTGCTGACCTCCTCTTCCGCTCAGCTCCGGCGATCGCCGCCTCTGCTTCTCCTGCCACTTTGCCGATGCGCAGCGTTGCCCCGGCCTGCCAGTGGAGGCTGGGTGCCTATCTGTGTCAGCGGCTGTGAATCTGCGCGCTGCTGCGAGGTGTGTGTTACGTGCTCAGCATCCCCCTTCTCATTTATCCACCCCCCACCCCCTTTGAGGTTTTGACGAACAGGCACCTCCTCTTCTTTCTTATTTAGAATTTTTCGATTCTCCACTTTTTTTTTGCCTTTCTCAGTCAAGACAGGATGCTGCAAATTTCTGGTTCATGCTCATGACTCCTCTCATCCTTCGTTCTCTCTTTGGCTTGGTTTTTCCACCCTTTCTATCCCTTTGTCTTTGCCATACAGTCAGTGTTGCCTGCCCACCTCTCCTCTCTTTTAAGGGCTCCTGCTAAAATGGTGCTCCGTGCGCAGACGGGTGCTGTGCTGCTTCAGCCGTCCATCTAACCACCGAGATCACCGTCGTTTCTGTTTTTTCCCAATGCCCACCCTTGCACAGCTAGCGGCCAATCAGGATGCAGAGAATGGCAGCGTATTCCACCATTGTAAAACCTGGCAGCGTAACGGGGATGGGGTTGGGGCAGGCTGTTTGGATGAGAGGGGCAGAGGGAGGGGTACAGTGGAGGCTATGCAGAATAATGGATGGATAGATCTCAAAGAATAAGGGAAACTGTTAGTGTGTGTGTGCGCGCGCATCTGGTAATACTCATATTGTGAGCAGGGGGGTCTTAGACGAATAGGCTGCAGCCTGGAGCCTCACCAGCAGGGGGCCTCGGTGAGCCATATGAATGGATGAATAATTAGAATGTTTAAATTATTTTAATTAGTATTTGTAAGAAGAGCTTTCCTATGACTTTAATTTTGTAATCATCGTGTGACTATAATAGCTATAGCATTTAGCTTACATTTATTAAAAATCAAGCCCAAGCTGTTTCTGCAATTTTGCCTGTGACCCCATCACAACGGATGAACCCAGTACCTGGAAAACACGAAAGTGAGGTACAGAAAAGGAAAAAAACGATTGCTGAAGATTGCTAAAAGTGAGAAAATACTTAAGGAAACAGTAAAACTTACAGCTTATTTCAACAAAACAACTGATGATGATGAAAACAACAACAAATCCGCTGGTGGAGCAATACACCGGGGTATGGCTAACAAAACTACTGTAGCCTCCTTGATAACAGCAGCACTGCTTCACCGGTTGAAACCTTGGTTGAAACTGAGTCAGCTAGCATTAGTAGCACCTGTGTTGCAGAAGAGGAGCTGGAAACTGTGGAAAGCCAGAAAGTTGCACCAAATGAAGAAGAGGAGCTGACATTCTCCACCACTGGCTGCAACACTGGGGGAAACAGGGTCACAGAGGACAGCTGGAGGGAGGACAAGATTTCACTACAAATCTGCATCCTACACCTCTTCACTGAGTTTACTTATTAAAGGAGAAGGAACTATATAATGTTTTCCCTAATGTGGACATTGCCTCAAAGAGCTTACTCCGCCTGTATCAAATGCAACAGGTGGATGTTCCTTCTCCACACTTGGGATAGTTAAAAATACTGCAGACTAAAGACATCAATGTATGAACAGCATCTAAATCACTTAACCATCATGTCTCTGCAACGCCTTGGTTTGTCAGCTGAACT